GTCAAGCGTTCGTTGTGAGGATGAGCGGGTCCTTGGGGAGACGGAATTCGCGGCGACGAAACGGCGACGCGATTCGATAGTAGGCGAACTCGTCATTCGCGCTGAGAAAGTTGTAGGGAGCCTCGAAAATCCGCTGTCGATCTTTGGCACTCAAGTGATGCTCCTTAAAGTTGTGGCTGATGATCACTGGTTTCCCGGCATCGTCCAACTCTCCGCTGTACTTTTCTTTCGTCTCTGGAGATTGTGCGGCTGTGGCTAGAGCCACTGGCGATTCCATGTCATACTCGAACAAACTTCGGAGGTTTCAAATAATCAGCATAAAAAAATGAGTATTAAAATCTCGTTACAATGAAGCCATTGTGACCGGTGGCGGTAAGATGGCATTATCATAGGAGTGCATTGTGATGATGACGAAATGACATTGCTTTTGAAAACATTAACGACACATCTGGATAAGAATGCATCGTCAGCCACCGAAGTGCCTAGTGTTGAAACGAGTATATTGAGGATTATCGATGATTTTCCCACGCTCCAATTAGTTTTTCCGTGACTCGGTGAGCAGACCGCAGCTTTGGTTTATTTTTGCACAAGAAAAAATAAATTACGTGGGAAATAAAGGATGGAAAGCCAACGGGAGGAAGATAAGCGATTGGAAAATTCAAACGCAAGTCATTGGCGGTGTCGAGATTTCAATGTGCTAGGGATACTATTATTCTTCTGAATCGCCCATTTAAGTCCAGAGAAATGAGCCTCTCAAACTGATGGAGGCTACAGTACTCCCAAAAGTTACAAGTTCATCCAGCAACTTCTTATCTAAACGTCACAATTAATGTGTTCGCAATAGTTTTACACAATATTCAATATTTTAGTCACCATATTCAGAAACCCCGTCCGCTCTAAAATAAAATGGGCCTTTTAAAAGAAGGTTTTGTTTTGCTTTAAAAAATTGCTGAAGCTTTTTGCTTATCAATTTTGTTTTCTAAGCTGTTGAAATTTCTTAGTTTTCGTGATGTACTAATTAGGTATATGCATACATTGATATTGTACAGTGAGACCCCCACATGCAGACACCTCAACCTGCGGACAATTCGAAATAGGGACACTTATCAGACAATTTCTGATTTCTAAAATTTTTATTTTTTCCCATACAAAAATAATAAAAAGGCCTGACATGAGGACACTGACTCAACATAGGGAAATTTTGTGATGCAATTGAAAATACATTTCAGGCCAAATTACAA